TAATATTCCTGTTTAGCTTTGATTTCAGTTTTAGTATAACAAACTTATTTCAGTTCATTTCTAGTTTTTTTTAGTTTAAGCCAGTCATCTGATGTTTATATTTTATTTCTTTAAATACAATATTATTGTGAATTATTAATTATTATATTATTAATTATTATATATTAGAATATACATAATGTTAAAAATGTATTAAAAATTGAGGTATATATAATGTAGTATGCATGTATGTACACAATGATATCAAATGTTTCAAAAATTATATTTGAAAATGAGCTATATATATTTTAAGCACAATATTATAATATAATATATATATATAGTAAAAAATATATAAAAAATCAAAGTATATATATATATAGATATATATATATACACACACACACACACACACATACGTACATTTAAATATTCAAATATTAGATGATTGCATTAATATTTATGATCATGCTATGTTAATTGGAAAAATATGGCTGTTTCAAAACAGTTTTTCCTGAACACGTGTATTTTATATTTAAATTGACTGCATTCTATACTTAAATTGACTTGAAAGTATTCTAAACTTCAACTTGGCTAAAGGCACAACAGCGACGCCAGCAGCAGTTTACATGCTTGACGTCAGGGAGGCTGCGAGTGAAAAGAAAGAGCTCACTCTGTATTCAGACCTCCAGAGCTGTGAGGTCAAGGGCTGCTGAGATCAGAGAAATCAAACTGTGTTCAGAGAACGGCTCTTTTCACTGGGATAAGAGGAGACGAGCCCCTCAGCTGGGACGGCTATCAAAGGAGGTGAAGCAGAGGCTGTACTGTAATTCAGTGAGCTGTACTCTCTCGCTCTCTCTTTCTTGTGCTGCTGTTTGCTCTTACGTTGATGATGGAGTCTTTGAATTTGATGTGAAGTCTGTAGTTGGAGATGGCGATGATATCGTCGTCCGCACGGCCCAGGAACTCGACCCACTCGCCCTGCAGGACAGGGAACGGGACCTGGAGAGACAGGAAAACACAAAAACATGCCATTGAACTGTGTGTGAACACATTTACAGGACTGAATGATGATATATTAATAAGCTCTGGACAACAGCCAGTCCAGTCGAGCTCTGCATGCTCTGTGTGTCTCTGTGTGAATGAATGGCACGGGTTCGGTTTTCGCTCGCAGTGATTTCAGCGTCTGTGACGGTTATTCCATATACGTAGTAAGGTTTCACAAAATAAAACAGAGCAAATAAAGTGTAATGATCTAAATAAAAACAGTATTCTTCAGCCAAACAATGTAGCTCCTCAGAATCAGTTGTGGTTCCAACAGAGTTGACGAGCAACACACAGATGTAAACAAAGGTGTATGTTTGTAGAGTAATTTATAGGGATGTAACGATTCACTCAACTCACGATTCGATTCACGATTTTGATTTCACAATTCGATTCAATTCACGATTTTTTTTTAACAAAATGAGATTTGAGACAAATTATAAATGAAATGTGTCCTTTGATTATTGCTTGGACAAAATACTGCACGTTTCTTTGTGAAATTGAAATATAACACTATAATAATATACTAATATAGCACTTGCATATTACTGCTCTTTTGTTGGTTTTGATTGCTTCTATCGTCCTCATTTGTTAGTCTCTTTGGATAAAAGCGTTTGCCAAATAACAAAATTTAAATATAATGTAAATGTAAATAACACAACTAAATTGAAATTTTAAAACAAGCCCCAAATCAAATAAATAAGTAACACAAATAAAATAAATCTCTTCATATAAACAAACTAAGGCTTTGTCTGTGCTCTTTCCATTTAAAATTAGAGGCAACCACTGCATTTTAATCATGATCCAAACAAAGATGCTGCATACATGCAACATGAGCAGTTTTTAATCTAAATTAGATTGTATAATTTCGAAATTTGAAGCAAAAACAGAATGGTTTGACTTCAGTTTTGTGAAACTATATACCCCTAATTGAATCGCGATTTGTTTAGCATCTCAACCGATTTGAATCGTCACATATTTAAATCGATTTTCAACCGGCTCGCGGTTAATCGTTACAATCCCTAGTAATTTACAACAGCTTCGAACTTGGCTCAACCAATCAGAATCAAGGACCGGAACCATCCGTTTTACAATAAAACTTAAAACTGTTAAAAAAAGTTTTCGTTATTTGAAATAAAGCTAAAATAAAATACAAATATTAGTTTAAAAACTTATTTTGGATAAACTCAAAACAAGCTGAAGTACTAAAATTATTAAAATGCAAATAAAAAAAATAAATTAAAGCTAAACATAAATATTAACCCTTTAACTGTCACTCACATTTTTGAACAGACGTGAAAGTGCACGATCCAAACTTAAATTTTTATAATTCATGAACGAAAACATTTTGTAACATGATATTGATGTACCATTTTCATGGTAATGCAGTGTTTGATTTTAAAATGGGTTTCAAAGGATGAATTTTGAGATTTAAAGTTTTCAACTGATATATAATTTCTGATGATTTCTAAAGTGTGATAGAGAAAAAGGCAACAAAGAAGACTTTTTTTGACAAAGGTCAGAAATCCTGTTATCATGTAGATTTTTGAGGTGCACTCTTGTCATAAATTAATCTATTACTTTTCCTTCATAGATATTTTACCAATGTTTTTGGTAAAAATTATTTAGGAGTCTTAGACCTTTCCAACAATATATAGTTCGTCATGATTAGATTAGGATTTAATTGTAATATAGTGAAGTAAACTTAGGCGTCCCACAGAGGGGACGGGTGACAGTTAAAGGGGTCACGAATTGAGAATTTTTTATTTTTGAGCACTGTTAGTTATGATGAAAGCATTCACTGCATTAATGCGCTCAACAGTCTGCGACGGGAGTAGATCTAAACGTAATGCTTTAATCAACAGCTGTAATAGTAAAAATGTAGTAAACGTTTTCGAGAGAGCTCTACTTATTTCGTATGTCAGCCAATCATAGCAATGGGCGTTTCCATTGAAGTCTCGCAGCAGACACGCCCCTTCCAACAGAGCGTGCAAATCAGAGGGCTAAAATCAGGGTAGAAAATGGCCTTTTATTTTTAATGTAAAAATCATAGTAACATTATAAGTGCACCTGAGGAAACATTACGAAATAATAAAAAAATGCAGTTCATGACCCTTTAAAAAAAAAAAAGACAAAACCATAACAAAAAAATACTAAAACTTCAAATTAAAATAAAAACCGAAAAATATACTGAAAGAGAAATAAAAAATAAAGCTGAACATAAAAAAAAGACAAAACCATAACAAAAATATTAAAACCAACTCAAACTAAAATGAAAACTAGAATAAAAAAATAAAGCTGAACAAAAAAAATATATATTAAAAAACAAATTAAAAAAATGACAAAACCATAATAAAACTACTAATAAATGTTTAAACATTTTTTAAATAAAAAAAGACAAAAACACATAAAACTAAAATTAAGATGAAAACTTAAAATGTAAAAATAAAAGCTAATTCAAAATAATATGCATTCTATAATACTATATAAATAAAACAAAAATAACACCGCTCCAAAAATGAAAAAGTCACACTTTTTTGTGTTTAGAGCTTGAAAGTATGTGCCAATATTCAGTTTCATTGTATTGATAAGAGCAATGTTAACATATTCCATGAAAGAAAGAAAGTAATGAGCGAGTAAATTATGACAATTTTCATTTTTGTGTGAACTATGCCTTTTCAGACATCCATTGTAAAGTTTCGTTTGTGCTAATTTCAGACATCTTGACCAAAACTCTTCTAAATCTTCCATCTATCAGTTTCTAGAGAAAAAGACACTTTTTTAAAGTTGTTATTTGAGACACGTCTCTGAATTTTTCTCATCCCAGGGAGGACGGGTCAGCAGCTGACACCGTGGGCATGGCATTGGTTTTTACAGAACCAG